ATTTAATAATACTCCTGGATACGACTGTACGCGATGTTCAGTTTGCGAATTTCTATTTAACGAACAATAATCGATAGCTCTGATATGAAAATAAATTTTTTGCACAGAAGAAATTGACGATATCGGGGAGAAGAGAAATTTATTAAAATACTTCCCTTGAAGTGCGACGAACCCTTGTCTAAAATATTCGATTTTTCTATCGCTTTCCTATAGTTCACCCCCTCTGAAATTCTCTTTGCCATGACACCAAAAAAGATTGTTATTTCACGGTAAATAGAATTTACGCACAACAATTAATAGACGAAAAAACGAATTAAGATCTCTTAAAGATACAATAAAAAAATTAGGCAAGCATTAGAAATAGATCGGAGTCAGTGAACAAAAACTTGGCACAGCAATTTGAGCGAGAATACGAGGATCCGTCGGTGTTCGATAACAAATCAATTTGCCCGGAGCGTATTCCATTTGAAATATGAAAAGACCCATTCCGCCGCGGTGCTCGGGGAGGGTGGATTGTCTAAAATGAATCGGCGGTAATTAGAACTTACTGGCACAGAGGGTGGAGGTAGCCTCGTCGGAGCCGTCGCCGCAGTGATTCACGCCGTCACAAAGCAGGTCCGTCTCGATGCAGAATTCGTTCTGGGTGCATCGGAAGTCCTTGCAGGTGTGCTCTGGAAAATCAAGGAAACATTCATGGTTAGGGCTGTCCCCGACGACTGGATGAGAGCTCATACGAATAAATTACCCCTTCAAATCACGCGAGCTTTCATAGACTCTGGATGTAACAGTGAACTCGTCTAAAAATGCAGAGTATGTCAATAAAAAAGCTGACAGACTCCGATTCCAGTCGAGTCATCGAACGCAAGCTTTTTCTGTCTTATATAATATGCCAATTGTCTATTCCGATTCTAATTATTCATCTACCTAGTAACATCACGTAGATACAATTTTAACTTTTCTGCTCACTTTAGTCTCATATATATTAAAGGGTTGTAACCGTAGAACGGTACATTATATACGAGATCGAGAGTGTGTGTATCCGAGGATCTAGAATGAAATTAGCGTAAGCACGTGCCACCCCTACCACGTTAATTACCGGCGAGTTCGGCATCGACCGGAGATCGATTGCTGAATTCCGTCTCTTCCGCGGAAGCCCGTGATAATGTAAGAATCGATCCAGCGAGAACAAAGATTGTAGAATCCAGATTAGAGTATGTGTGCAAGTGCGTGGAAGGAGC